AAAGTTAGAGAAATATCTGTTGGGAAAAGAATGTTTTATAATTCATTGTACAAGAGAGCGTGGGATTTTTTTCCGGCGGGAGGGGGGGGGGATTCTTGATGGTCGCTCTTCGACGAACTTGGATTATTCGCGAAACGTTTTGAGAACATTGAAATTTTGAACACTACACTTTATCCATATACATAAGCTGGCTCTACAAGTTTATTATGTTTATCATTTAACGTAAACTATAAAAACAACATTAAAAACATACATTTCTAGAAAATACATATTTTAACTGCTTTTGATATTGAAATGTGCAATATAGCGCAATGTTTACACAGAAAGAACAATTTTTTTTTAAGTATCTCAAAAGTTAGTTTGATACAGGTCTGAAAATAATTTTGTTGGATCAAAATAATATCTCAATATTTTAGTGGCTACCATTAAGAAAATTAAACTTTTCAGGAGCATATAACCAACCTTCGTTGTTTAGAAGTCATATATTATAAAAAACTAGTACAATTTGTATACGTTTCGGTCAATATTTGACCATCTTCAGTACATTTCTAATAACATTATATTAAACCGAAATCAATCGATAGTAATCCTAATCTAAAAACGCAAAACATTTTCGTTTAATCTTATATTTTAAATAGTAATATCGCATCTTTTTGAAAAAAGGCGTGTGAAGATAAATTTAATAATCACACAACAGTTCGCAACATTTAATATGGTGACATACATTTTAAATAGAAATATCGCATTTCTTTGAAAAAAGGCGTGTAAAGATAAATTTAGTATTTATACAACAGTTCGCAACATTAATATGGTGACGTACAAATCTTTATTATTAATTATTAAATGAATTTTCATATTGGTATGACTACTATTGATTTAATATCAAGAGGTACAATTTTCTTCTTGATCTGACTCCGACTTTTTTCTATATGAATACAAGACCAATTTAAGTCTTTTTAAGTTTTATTGGAACTCTCTACATGTATTCAATACCGTGATCAGACCCACAGGAGACACGCAAGTGGTCAGTTACGTATCTCACTGTACACATCTCACTGTTATTGCACACTTACATGTTATTAATAATAACGTACTTTTCTTTGTATGAAAATAATATCGTTTCTTTATTCTTATTTTAAATATGACACAAAAAGTAACTTTCAGATTGATGAAAAATTTTCAAAAAGTCAACAAACAAAAACTTTTTTGCTTTAAAAAATAGTTTGGAGCCTGTAGAATATAAGGAACAAAAGGTCTGAAGTATAAATTTGAGTTAGTTTCCGAGTTACAAAGCCTACAGCCGACCTACAACGGATTCATAACTGCGTGCCGGCCACTCAGAATTGGTCGTAATAGGCTAGGCAGGTTTAGCAGGTCGGAATGTTGGTATTGTTGATTTATTAGCGCGCTGTTTGGGTGGTTACACTCAAAATTCGAATGAGAGCCTGAATGCGTTAATTTGGACTTTCACTCTAAAAACAACGTGTTAGTGGTGCTAAATGCGTTGAAATTACTGTCAATATTGCCAGCAGTATATTCAAGAATCGTTATTCAAGTATTTTTTTAATGATAAATACGATAAAAGCGTTGGGCCGGTTATAGCAAGCATTCGCGAAGCCTTGAATTTCGCACGCACGTTGGAGACATCTAAAAAAGGTATTTCAAGGAGGCAGAGTAAAGCAGAAAACGAAGGGGACAATTATTACGAATGGCATGGCAGATTAGTGATAAGAAAAGTTTGCACTATATAATATAAAGACTATGTTGTAAAACTTTAAATGCGTTTCTCTCGAAAGCTTATTTTCAAAGTGGTGTCGAAGGTTTCTCGGGATACACTTATCGGATTGACTTGAATTTGGGTTTTTTTCTTATTCTTAATTTACTCTAAGCATCGACTGAAGATTTTTACAATATCATTGTTATTTTGCAAAATACTAATAAATTATTTAACAATACTTGTGCGAAAAAATCAAACCAAAAGTTAAAAAATTTTTTTTTAGTCAAATTTCAACAATTTTTTAATAAGCTCGGTCAATGCTTGAGGAATACAATGCACTTAAGTAATGTTATTTTCTTTTTGGTTTCAGATTCAATATGGCAACTAGAAATCATTGGCACTAGTGATTGATGCGAAAAAAATTGACTTTTTATAACATTTCAATAAATGGTATTAAAATTTTTTTTTCTTTCATTTTGCATATTTTATACCTTCTATGTGTACTTAAATAAAGTACCAAACCACAAATCGGCAATCCACGCTGAAAAATTACCTATTTTTTCGCCCGGTCATATCGATCTAACCCCTTAAAAATATAATTTTCAAGTTATCACTATAAATGAGACAAATAAAGATTACGCTATTAAACATCAAAAGTACACACGTAGACATCTCAATGAGCAATACTGCAAAAAAATGTTAACATTCTAGCAACCTTAAATCAAACAGTTTAAGCGTCCTTTATAATTATTTTTATGATGTAATAAAATTATTTTCAGATTTTACTAAATTTTTAAATGCTTCAATAAAACCGTCTTTTTTGTACATATTTTGGCGATGGAAGTGTTTATGTACCTGATAATTGGAAATTTTCCGATAACGTGAGAAGATTCAATTTCTAACGTAGGAGTTTATAAATAGTAAGTACATACGACTAAGTCATTCATGTGCACATTTACTAGGCTAGAGCATTTTTTAAATAATTCTATATTTTTTTCTTTTTTTTTTTAATAAAGAACTTTACAAATATTTTCTAAAGACGTTAAAGTGTATGTAAGAATTACTTAATAATTTTTGTATACTTGTAAAGTCTGATTTTTCATTTTCTGATAAATTTGTAGTTTAGAATTAATCTCTTTTAATCTGATAAAAAATTGTTTTTCTATAGCTATAACTAATTATTAAAATGATAGTTTTGTGTGGTAATTTTAAAAGTTACTATAAAATCATCGATTTAACGACATATATTATATATTTAACCATAGTTATAAATACAATTTTTACATTAGGTCCAATTAGTTAATTAAAAAATGAAAAACCGAGCCTAAAAATGATAAAAATTAATCCGAGACACCATTAACACTCATCGTGTGTACGAAGGATTAATTATATGTATACCTAACATTAATCATGTCATTTATATTAAATGTTTACATTATATTGAATTCACTCTCGTCATTTATTTTTAACATTTCAAGTGACAATTATTATTTCAGAATAGACAAATATTTATCTCACAGATACAATTGTTGAAATGCATCGCAACGAGCGATGACTCGTGGATCTATTAAGAGAGTCTCGCGACCAAAGCCCACTATTTCTATCGACCGTGTGCACGCGATACGTGTATTTACGCAGCTAAGATAGTTCAAATTTAAGCCAATGCCATTGAGAAGGCGGATGGCGTCGGCACTGCACTCGTACGGCACAATAGCTGTTTTCCGGCCCGAGCGGAAACGGGACGCAGCACGCGCATACCCCCAGTAAAATCGAATTGTTATTAGACACACGACTGCGCTACGTGTCTGCAGTATCTCTACGCTCTCTCTCTCTCTCTCTCTCTCTCTCTCTCTCTCTCTCTCTCTCTCTCTCGTGTATGTATTTATTTCACTTGCACATCGTATGCACGAGATGCATCATACTGCTCTCTCATTGAAGGGCATCCTTCCGCGTATGTATAATAATTCTTCGGCGCTGAATCCCATCCGCTGTACTAACGATTAACCAAGGCGATTTGAATCCGCTTGAATCCGGCCAACCACAGGCGCGGCGCGGGCGGCGAGCGACGGAGGGCGAGGGTTGATTAAGTCATTCGTTCTCGCGATCACTGTGATTTCGAAGGGAAGAAAATGTAGGGGATCCGTAGGCTACGATGCTACGAATCAATGCAGGAAGGAATAAACGCGAGCGAGCGAATATGCGGCGGGCATACGAACGCTGTTCCATAATCATTTCGATCGGGTTGAGAGAGGCAGGTGGGCCAAGTAAATGGAAGGATTCTCCGTCTGAAAAGCGCCCGGGGCGTCCGCCGCGCCGGTAAGATTGGCATAAAGTATGGATGCGAGACACGCGAGAGACGATCGCGCCACGCTACAACGCACCGGTAGCGCCGCCATGCGATGCGATGCGGCGTTTGCTGATGTGTTCGTTGTGCGTAGGTGATCTTCGAGGAGACATAAATTTCCGCGAAATGACAGACGTGACAAACGCCTTGGGATCGCCGCACTGCACTGGAGCGTCTGTCTGCCCGCCATCTTTCAAAGGCGACGTTAGATTTAATGCGAAAGGGGATGATCGCCACGTGTTACGACAGTTTTATAATATCGCGCCGGGTTATCCCGTGCCGGGAATCCTGTGCCACAATTCATCCTCGGCGCGACGTACGTTCCTTTATATCCAACGTCACGTCGAATTGTAACGGATGTCGCGGGCGAGCCTTACGAAGAGGTTCGTGTTGACGCTGACGCGGCGTTTCCGAGATATATATGTATTATGCCGGCGCAGCGCAACAATTTTCTTCCAGGCCAGCCCGTGGCCTAGCATGGGTGATTTCCGGCGTTCTCTGAGCCTTCAGAATCATTGCCGCTTTGCTGAACTCTCTCTAGTACTTACAGACAATTTATTTTGTCATTCCCACCGCTTTGCCAGGGATATTTCAATGTCGTTCGCGTGATAATCCCCTACGGATATAAGGAGCAATCTTCTTTTTGTAATTCATTTTTTTTTCCTTCGAACAGATAGACACGTATAGGAAACAGCAGCTTTCTGAGATTTATCGGTTTATGTGTTATCCCGTATTTTTGGCAGCCATTTTTACGTCGAGTTTGCAATTGAATCGGACAATATACGTCGTGCGTCAACCGCGTTTATTTTTCTGACAAAAGCGGTAACGGGGAAACACGAGTACGTTTTTCCGTAAGAAGCATCGCGAAGTTTCGCTCGTCTTCGAAGTTAAATGTCTGCTAACGTCACTCAAGCCGTGTCGATAAATCGCAGAGGCGAGTCGCTGAGGATCATTACTCTTCGAGTTTGCTGCGTTGCTCGATTAGATCTGTCGACCGAGCGAATATGACTCCGCGCTCGCAACCGGTCTTTTTACAAGCTGCAATTTGCTGCTGACCTAAAAAAGCCTGCGTACGCAGTAAAAAACGACTTCCAAAAATTGTAGGACCCATTAGTCGAAATTACATTCCACCGAAACGATTGTAAAAGTCTTACTGAAATGTAGCTACGTTCATTGCACCTGACGTATCATAATTTCTCGTATTATCATAATTACCCGTATAGAATATATTGGTAAGACAATTGATAACACTATAGCTTACAAGGTTTCACGCAAGATCATATAAAGATGATTTCTAGAATAATTCTCAATGCCAAGTCCGAATCTACCGTCGAAATATTTCTATTAGATTTGACATAAGGAAAGGAAATGATTTCCAATATAACGAAAATTTGAAAACAAATTGAAATTAGGAAACAAATAAAAAATGTTAAACGTTTAATTTTTGTTTTTACATGCTTTTAAATTAAAAATTGATTTCACGTTTAGAGTCCAGCAGTAGTTACCCAACATGTTTTCGTCCCGATATACCTCTCTCTCTGACAACGTTTCTCAATTACCATCAAATCCTAGTGGAAATTCGTTCGCCTTGCTCATCACTCAAATTACTCGGAAAGGAATACTACGACATGCTATATCTTAAAAATTCGACCTTACGGAGTCTTTCTAGCGACAGCGTCCTAAAAATACGTTAGAAAAAGTTGTTTCTTTTTCTTGTACTAAAAATTATTCAAGATGTGTATATTAGTATAATCGTAAATACTCTCTCTATAATTTCAATATATTTTATTTTTCATAGAAATATTTCTCATTGATGTAAGAAAAACGAGTTAGTGAAGTTTGAGATCTATTACATCTCTTAATACAATACTTGGCACTTGAAATACTTACGGGCACGAAGTGCATCTACGAAGTAATTTGCAAGCTTCTAGAGGCACGTATACTTTAATGTCAGGAGCTTGACAAAGTTCGACGCTTAATTGACCCACGATCGTCCTAATATAACTTGGCTTCTGTCCACATGCGTGCTCCTCTATTTGGACGAATTAGAGAAGCCAGACGTTCGAACTTGGCGTAATTAAACGGCGGATGCACGCTGACCGAAAATTAAATTTCTCCACGTTGGCACGTCGATCTCGCTTGGAATTAGTTTGTGGCAAATTATGACGTAACTCCGTCAAACTATTTGACGTGGCGCCTCTCCTCGTATTACTCTGATCGAAAATTTGCCATTAATATTTACATTCAGCTTGACATTTATTATTTTTTATAACCAATGGAAATTCAACTCATAATCAAATTTTTGTTTGTGATATTCGAGAGAAGTAAAGGCATTATTGTATTATGCTTTTATATTAAAATTGCATGCGATTGATTTTGTAAATCATTAATAATTTATTTTGCATAATTTATTTAATGTAATTATTATATTATATTCATTTGGTGTGTATGCAATTTTAATTGGATTGTAACATAATACTTGTTTCACAAGCATATATAAAAGTTAAAAGCGTACTACACACATCTCATCCTGTTAATATAAATTACATGTATGCATACTTGATATTAAATTTGACTCACGTGTATATTGAGCGAATTTTTATATTAATTCATGATAATTTTATTTCTATTCCTTCACTTTATATTTTTAGTATCCATTCCACAGATCTGCCAGAAACATCTGCTGAAATATTAACCGCTTTTTTCAAATCGAAATCTGCCAAGATGCGGGATCGTAAATTCAAGGTGCAAAGAACAAACTTAAAATGAAAATAATATCTCACGTACCTCGTTTTTAAGTGCATGAAGCGAAACAACTTGAGTTATGATCCTTCTTCCCGATACATAATAACCCAAGAAACGAGAAGCACAGAATTCATCAAATACTTGGCATAAAATTCACAAATTTTTTACTATTTATATTATATTTTCTATATAGAAACATTATTATAACATATCATTACTATAATGATTTGAATATTATTATTGAACAAGAAATAGTATATTTTATCAGTTTCAACGTTAAATCTTAACGTTGTTCGTAAAAATCATCTTAATTTCTTTTTTTATAAAATTTACAAATTTGTAATATTAATAAATTGATGTATATGTATACTCAATAAAATTACCTTTTTAAAAAAAGATAAAAAAAGGCGCCAAATGTGCGTGTATCTCTCATAAATCCATACAAAATTGTTACATAAACCAAAAAAAAAAAACCAAAAATGTTACATAAATAATATAATTCAAGTAGTAATATTATTAATTTTTTATTATAAATTATCCCTCAGTAATACGTATATATGTATTAAAAAAAAATGAAATAAAATCTTTAAATTGTGCCAATTGCAAAAAGAATATATATTTTCTTGCAATATACATATTACATATACTATTGTATTTTGTAAATTGCGAAAAAAACATATATTTTATCGCAACATATAACAGTTAATTAATGAAAAAAAATAATACGTACTTTTATCGTTCTATTCAAAAATCTTTTATATTTGCAACGAAATACAACATTTAATCTCAAAAAATTATAGACGAAGCATTCCAAAATAAGAAAATTTTATTAAAATAACAAAATTTTTTATGTAAAAAAACTTGGCGCTGCTAAACCTCAAAATATAATAAGTTTAATGATCACCTTATTATATTTTGAGGTTTAGCAGCACCAAGTTTTTTTACATAAAAAATTTTGTTAATTTAATAAAATTTTCTTATTTTGTGATGCTTCATCTTTAATTTTTTAATTAAACCGGCGTCGTTATTGTC